AATAATTGCTTTTGTAATATTTTCCCTATAACTATTACAAAAATACAAAATAAGTATAAATAAGTATTTATATTTGTGTACAAGCTGTTTAGATTGTCAAAAAGCCTGTGTTTTTAGGGTTATTAACAAAGTTTGTGTACTCAGACCAATAATATTTGGTGTCAGAAGTTTTTGCCATGGATATTTTGTGGGTCAGAAGATAAAAAGTTTGGGAACCACTGGKCTAAACTCATGGTTTGTCATTTTTCTTTGCATTATATTAAGATTAATCATAAACTACAAGTAACTACCAGAGACATTTAGATCAGAATTAAGCACACATCTAGATTTGCACACTTTATAAAATCACAAATAATAAAATTTTAATTAATGAAATGTCCACCTGTGTCCACCAATGGCTGCTAGCTTAATCATAAAAATTAAAACAACTTGACTTAACAACAAACAGGACACATTTTCAGCCAGTTTTCATTGTTGCTCATAACAAAGCCTGATGTTTATATGGGATCCAGTTATGTGATGTCCAAGTTTACAGTATACCAGTTAAAGTGTTTTTTTTTTTTTTCAAACAAAAGCAAGACTTAATTTTTCTCCTGGATTTTTTTCTGGTAATTCCTTCTCATATGATGGTTGTCGTTTTCAGCAGACAGACCTGTAACAGCTGTAAACACCTGAGGATGCATTCATAAATATTTTTTCTGAGAGGAAAGTTACCCGGGGCAATCCTGTTGTCGTGTGCAGCAGGTCCATCAGGGAGGATGTTTTTGACCTGGAGGAACTCGTCTGGGCGGTCTCCTCCGATGATGGTGAACCCAAATCCTTGTGGACTTTTTCTAAGCGCTGTCTGCAGGATGGAACCCTGAAGCTGAGCGGGATCTTTTGTAAAACCCCGTGTTCCCTGAGCAGAATCGTCTCCTGCAGAGGAAAATGAAAAGAGATGTATAAAATAAGGAATGCAAAACATGCACTACTAAGTCTATTGGTGCACTCATACCTAGAACATTTTCTAAAACTCAATGAAATATTGAATTTGTAAATCATTCTTATGTTTCTAATTTACAAAAACAAAAAGCTGATGTACAGAAAATTAAATTAATTAACTTTTTACCACCATGGTCCAAAAAACTGTTAACTGGTTGAGGTTTAGTCTTTTTTATTTATTTATTTATTTATTTATTTATTTGCTTTCACACTGCCTGTACTGGCTGTTCATAGTCCTTCTGGTCCATTTGAACTCCTGGTTCAGAGTACATATAAGTAATTAAAGCATCATTAGTGACAAATATTCATTAGCCAAGCAATTTGAATGCTCTTTCAGCAACTCCCCTATTAAAAATGCATTTGCACTGCTAAAGTTCAAGCTACTTAACTCTCACTGTTGTCAATGTCCTATCCTTCAACATATGCAGCTGGAAGTAGACTGATCTACTGTACAAGTCTTTGCTCCAATAATAATAATAATAATAATAATAATTTATTATTATTATTATTATTATTATTATTATTATTGAAGAAGAAGAAGAAGCACTACAAATATGTAAAACTTATTTCAATTCTGCTTAAAATAAACCAAGAACCCACAACTCAAACTACAAAGTCATCCACCGTTCTTCTTGTCGTAGGTCAATGCCATGCACATAAGTGACATGATTTCATTGACTGTTGGAAAATAAACAATCACATCCATCATCAACATCTTCTACAGTATATTCACACCTGACCCGTTTGGTCCACTTTAAACAGGACCAGAGTTTGTTTCCTTTGTTTGTCCGGACCTTTTCTGCAGGTGTGAATACACTCATGCAAACCCGAATCAACTACTGGAAACAGGCGCTGTTTTGGGCTTCACGAGCCACCATCGCTATGCATCATGGTAACAACTAGCCCTTCAGTGTTGCTAAGCCTTCCACTATGCTACAAACAATAGGCCGCTGTGGGTCAGGAAATGTGGAGCATCTCGTCTTCGTTGGGTTGCAGCACACATTTGCCARCACTGYCCAAAATTTAGAAGTATAACATCGTGAAACCGTCTTTGAATGGGCTGCTCTTGAAATTTTAAATGGTATTGTAATTGTATTAACAGCACCATCTTTTTTTGGGGTCTGTGCCCGGCATTTCTGTCCAATGGGAACAGTGGCTTTATTTATATAGTCAGCTCGCAAAAAAAGCACGTGAATGCAAACTGCACCAAACACCAACAAAAAAAAATTAAGGTCATATTCACACCTGATAGTCCTGTAGACTCGGTTCGATTGGGGACCAAAACTGCAAGCTTTGTTTACATTTTCTGTTGGTGCAGTTTGAATTCACACTGCACTTTCTCAACCGAACTAAACCCTGTAAACAACCTGTTCCCGCCCTCACCTGTGGGGGCGCTGCACAAAGAACCACTAAAGGAATCAACATGAAAACCTCAGAAGACGACATGGAGCGCAACTTCCTTCTTCACAAAATGTAAACAAACAATAGTAACGTTACATTTTAGTGGTTATAGGGTTTATTTTTTGTTTTTGTCAAATGTGCTAAACAAATAGTCTTCAACGATGAGCTCAGCATGAGAGGAAGATGAGGCGGAACCACGGAGAATGTTGTTTTGCACACAAGGCGGCTGAAGAAGCTCCGTGTTAATCGAGTAGGAGCGCGTCCAGCTCCACAGTCATGATGTCCACCTTAAACAGTCGTCCAGCGAGGTTTTTACACCATATAAGTAAATTTAATACTGTTATTACTCAGAATGTCATGCGGTATAGTCCGCTTCCTGCTCTTGGAGCGGTCTCTGGTCCACTTGGTGTTCACACATGTAATCGAACTGCACCAGAGTTCGTTTCAATCAAACTGAGACCTAGGTTTTCAGGTGGACCAGAKTAYGCTTTTTTGGTCTGAATCAGAGTTCGATTACGCGTTCAAACCTCCAGAAACGAACCGGACTTTCCAGGCAAACGAACTAGAGTTCGATTAAATTGGACCAAACAGTGCAGGTGTGAATACGCCCTAAGTCTGTTTTTAATCCAGACCAAACAAGTGGACCAAAGGACTTACCTGGAATAGACGTCCTGAATAGACCCTAAAATACACTGAAGTATATCAAAAATGACTAAAATAATGACGACCAGTAGCTCTCACTGCAGGAATACATTCTTCCTACTTTTATTWTTTTTTTTACAAGTAAACCTTACATTGCAAATTTCCTTTGTAGTGCCAGCAGGATGTGCAAATTAAGTTTTCTCTAAAGAAGACAGAAAGTCACTCATATTAGAGTGTTTATATTAGGAAAAAGTAGAGAGGTTGATGGGACAGGAAGGAGTAGAGAGAAACAGAGCATCAATAAAGCTTTCCTGTTAGATTCTGAGTGGCTTTGTCCTGTGCTGAGATTCATCTCTGGCAGTTCCCACACTCACAGACGTCGGGACACCAGTCTCATTAGGGAGCTAGAACAGAACTCTGTCCTGTAGGCCTATGTGTCTCACAGAGTAGGACTGGTCAGAACTTCGTGGGTGTGTTTGTTTACAAAGAGCAACACAGAGCTGTGGAGCAGCGTGTCCTTCTGCATGTCATTTTACTGGAAATAACTCAGCAGAAGAATGTTGTTAAATTAGTAAGAGGTGGAGGAGCAGCTTGGCTGATTGATCATGTGAACGTTCACATCTTTCAATCACTTCCATTAAGAATAAAAAAGGAGATTTTCCTCTTCCAACTTTGTATGTAAAGTAACATCGATATGCGCTGTGCTACATTAAGAGTGCTGTTGGAGAAATTATGATAGTTTAAGCTCCTGCATCTTCAGCCCAGCTATGAAAACTCAGTCAGAAAATAGACGTTTGAAATCACAGATCAGCTGTCTCACATCTCGCATCATGGGATTTTAGGTTTGCATAACTATCTAGTCATTGGCTGATAAATGTGAATGATTAAAAAAAGAGCAACATGATTAACATGACTGYGTCTGGGCTTCACAAGTGCAAGAGTTACAGTGACAAGTGTCAAACTGTCTCCTGCTTCAGGTATGACTGAGCGCCTTCACACTGCTCCGTCAAGTTCACACCGTCAGCAGGCGGCTTCAGAGATTAGTCATTTTTTAAGTGATGTTCTGTGAACTAATTCATAATAAATAAAACTTCGWCAGCCGTGAAATCAGTCATAGAGCGCAGAGTATTGAGAAAGAGGCGAAAGTCTTCATCCAGGTTAGGCAAATAGTTAACCCAATACAGGGTCAGTGTTTATTGCTTATTTGGTGTGAAAGAAGGCTACATTTACTAATATTAAACCTCTATACTTCTGTAAGTCACAGTTTCTTTGGTTTGTTGCCATTACTGCATGAATGTGCACTGTCTGGCCAAAACAAAACGTTGCCACCAAAAACAGGTCACACACTAATATTTTGTTGGATTGCCTTTAGCTTTGATTACATATTATCTTCAAGTAAATAACCTTTAATATTTGGTGGCATAAGCCTTGCAATGACTGCCTCAAGCCTGTGACCCATCAACATCACCAAACTATTCTTCATTTGTGATGCTCTTCCAGGCTTTTCCCTCAGTTTCTGTCGGTTCTTGTTTCTTTCAGGTTTCTCCCTTCAGACTCCTCTTCAGGAGGTGAAATGCTCTATTGGGTTCAGGTCAGGTGATTGATTTGGCCAATCTAAAACCTTCCACTTTTTTACCCCCTGATGAAGTCCTTTCTTTTGTTGGCTGTATATTTTGGGTCATTGTCCTGCTGCATGATAAGATTACCGGTACTCCCGATTAGTTTGGATGCATTTCTCAGTAAATTGGCAGATAAAATGTTTCCATATGCTCCAAAATTCATTCTGTTGCTGCCATCATCAGTTACATCATCAAAAAATGTTAATGAGCCTGTCCCAGAAGCTGCCACGACATTACCTGCACCGTGCTTCACAGATGAGCTTGTGTGCTTCAGATCATCAGCAGTTATTTTCTTTCTCCACACTTTGGTTTTTCCATCACTTTGGTAGAAWTTAATCTTGGTCTCATCAGTTCATAAGATTGTCTTCCAGAGCTTTTGCAGCTCATCTCTRWAYTTCTTTRCAAGTTTCAGTCTGGTCTTCTGATACAGTACTTGTTACTGATGAGTGGTTTGCATCTTTGTCTATGGCCTCTATATTTCTGCTCTCTGAGTCTTCTTCCAACAGTGGATTGTAGTACCTTCACCCCTGAACTGTGGARGTTGTTGGTGATGTCACTTACTGATGTTTTGGGGTTTTTCTTTACAATATTTCTGTCATCAACTACTGTTTTCCTTGGCCGACCTGYTGGACATCTGTTGCTCWGTACATCAGGAGTTTCTTTCTAATTCARGAYATTTCAAATTGTTGTGCTTGCTTATGYCCAATGTTTTTCAATGGCCCTGATTGATTCTCCTTCTTTTCAGCTTCAAAACGGCTTGTTTTTCTCCCATARACAGCTGTCTGGTGTTCATGTGYCTTTAACAAGAAATACCTACTTTATAGGTTTAAACCCAGGCCAAAAAGTAGACTAGTCATGCAGAGCTATTTAATGTTTGAACAATCAACTTTAAAGGCAACACCTGGTTAATAAGAAACACCTGTCAGTCATATGTTCCAATAGTTTCGCTCACCTAAAAATGCTGTGGTGTAAAACAAACTGATATATCCTGTTTTAACACATCTACATGTAAATACCAGGAAATAAAAGCTGACATTCTGAACTCTTTTCTCCTGTTCAATCTGAAAAAGTACGATATTTGACTTGCTGTTCCAACACTTGTGGAGAAGGTGGATGGATGGATGGATGGATGGATGGATGGATGGATGGATGGATGGATGGATGGATGGATGGATGGATGGATGGATGGATGGATGGATA